CTCTCTCTCTCTCTCTCTCTCTCTCTCTCACACACACACACACACACACACACACACACACACACACACACACACACACACACACACCAAAAAAAGAGCAGGAGAAGGAGGGAGCGCAACGGGACCCAAAGCTGGTATCCGCCTCCTTGGACATTTTCAATCTTCCAAATTTTCAATTTTTCGATGCTTCTCAATTTTTTCGATATTTTTTAAAACTTTTTCGGATTTTTCCAATAAATTGTGATTTTTGTGTTTGTGCCCAAAGAAAAGCAATTGTGCTGTATTTGATACTTTCAATTGCTCCAGATTCTCTTACCATCCGAAATCGAGAACCTACTCCCCTGTACCAGAAATAGGAGGTAGGAACTCTGCCAACCTCCACACAAGGAAAAGGATAGGAGGGACCAGCAGGCCCAGCTGAGTTCGTACAGCCACGAACTGTTGAAATAGAGACCCAAGTTCGAATCCAGATATATACAAAAAAAAAAAAAAAAAAAAAGAGGATAGGACTCATAGGAGGGTGCTGCATGCTCAAAATAAGGACACTGAGACTGAGACAAAACTCAGACTCCTACGGGAGGCAGTAGTGGGGAATCTTGGACAATGGGCGAAAAGCCTGATCCAGCAACATTGAGCGAGTGAAGACGAGGAGTTATCTCGTAAAGCTCTTTCATTGGTAGTGCGGTGCACCCAAAACCCCGTAAAGTTGCGTAAACACATGTAGGCATCCGAACCGGACTGCAAGGGGTGTTAAACAACTTAAACTCGACCGTAGGAAGATAGTCGTGCTGGGTTATTATGACAAAACAAAAGCAAAGCGGAGTAGTCTGCAAGCATGCAGGACTAGTTCACGTACCGTGCCTGACGTCTCGCTCAATTAAGGTTGGCTACTGCAGCGACGAGGGAGTACAAAAAAGGCTACAGAGACTTTCTTTCCTCCGGAGTGACGGACTTGGACTGAAATTTTTTGCTCTTCAAGCTGCTTGAAAATCTTTTGCTCTTCAAGTTGCAATTCTTTCCATATCTATAATCTTTCCTCTTTCTTTTCCGTGTTTTCTCATGTGCTTTCCTCCTCTTCTGCCCTCCTCTCACTCTGTCCATCTTCTCTAAATTTGGGAGTGAGCTATATGTCCAACCCCACAAAGGATCGAGCACTTGATCATTAAGGGACCGGTGAATTCCGATCATTTGCATCACCATCTCGTCACTTATTAAGTTGATGGGATTGCTCGTATTTGACTCTTTTGCATAGGCCTGTGTCTCTCTCATAGCTCATATTTCTCTCTCTCTCTCTCTCTC